TATATATATATATATATGTATAAGAGATTTAAACAGTTTTAAATTATTTACTACCCATAGACCATTCTTTTCTCATGATCGGTCCTATTGTTCCACATTTTTCCAACCCAATTCAAAAAATATCAAAAACTTATTCTCAGGTCCTTAGCTTTTACTTCGTTCCGATTTATTAACTTATTATGCGTCTTGTGCTGTGTAACAGCGGTACAAAGCTCATATTGTCACGGGGTTGTCTGTATTTGTGTGTGTATGTGTGTATGTGTGTGTGTGTGTGTGTGTGTGTGTGTGTGCGTGCGTGTGTGTGTGTGTGTCCCACATTTTGTCCCGCACTTTCAACTCGGGAACCACAAAAGCTAGGCGGCTGAAATTTTAGCGTAGTACTCTCCGCCAACGGGTGACGCGGCAAATTTAAATTCAGCCTTCCCGTACCTGCGGGTAACTCGTACGGCACCCAGCCAGCGGGTGACGCGACAAATTTAAATTCAGCCTTCCCGTACCGGCGAGTAACACGTACGGGCCCGTAAAATTTTTGGCGAGTGAAATCATTATCTCGGGAACCACGGAAGTTGGGAAGTTGAAATTTTATGGGTATGCCACTTGACCACGTGTAACCCAGAAAATTTAAATCCAGTTTTCCCATTCATGGGGGTTTTCACCCGCAAGAAAATATCGCGTACAGCCCTGTGAAAGTTTTGGCGGAAGATTATCTCGAGACCCATGAAAGCTAGGAAGCTGAAATTTCAGAACGATATTTTCTTCCGTTGCGGGTATTTCACAAACTCAAATATGCGAGTTCCCAAGTATGCAGAAGCCTTACGTAAAATCACGTGGGAATTGTGATGTGAAAGCCGCTAGCTCGGAAGGCGGAAAGCTAAAGGTTGACATTTGGAGGGATGTCCCCCCCTCCGTATTTTCAAATTCAGATTTCACGTACCAGCATGTGAAATTTTCAGTGAGAAATTCCTCACCTTAGGAACCAGACAGCATATCTATTGTTTTTCCATATACGAAAATGTAAAAGAATTATATTTTTAGCAAGCAAACGTCCGCTGGACGGAAATACCCAAAACGCATGACCGCACCGGCTACCTGGTGCGCTTTGCTATTTATTCAATTTTTGTATAATGCTTTTTTATATATAGAACTTCAAGTTGGATAGATTTACATGTATTAATGGTTTCATATTATACAGGGGTGACCTGCTACCGAAACGAATCATTATTATCATTACAGTAGCACTTTTGGTATATGCTAAATGTGTAATTACTTTTTCTGGTATTTTACATTACTACTGTTGAGTTATCTAAGATGGTATTTTACATTAATACAGTTAGTTTGTCTAGAAATCAGTGTATTTTTGTTGTTACACCTTATTTCTGAGTATATTTTTGCCCATTTTCCAAACTTATATGTTAAATTCTAATTTTCCTTTCGCTTTTTTCCATTATACAAAAGTTATTTGTTAAATATCTTACTGATACTAATTTGGCACCGCATCCTTCGTACTGACGAGATCCAACCGTGGGACTATGTACAAGTAGGTTGCAACTTCCAGGTTAATCCTGGACAACTTCGAGGATCGAGACATTCTTGTCCATTGAGTAATTATAATTTAATGCTGTTTTGCTAGATTTTACAATAATATTTTTAAACCTTTAAATGCACCTTTAAATTATCATAAAAAATTTGCTGCTTTGAAACTGTCATTTTTCATGAGTTTTCTAAAGTGCGATGCCTTGACTTAATGTTTGTGAAGAGTCCCCTTGAGTGGGGATTTTTTATAATTTCTGGAATAAGCTCTTCGAAACAGATTCGCCTGATATGCCTCTTTCTGTTCTCTTAGCACTGTGCAAGCATTGATACAGGTGTCGCGTGAGGTTTGTATGATTTCTCAAGAACGCATAGTTTATTTTTTGATCAAAGCTTATCACTGTTCCGGTTTATTCATCATGTGCATCGTGTTGTTTTTTCGGTTATCAGTGCCGTATGAGCGCGTCTCTACTCACTCTGTGTTATGTGATCGGTGCCTTGAATGATTGGTCGTCATTGTGCTTTTTGCATATGCTTTTATCGACTGATAATAAAATTTTCCTGTGGCAATTTGGAATTTCGTCGCTTTTGAATCTATAACAGTCATGCTGCATTGTATCCGCGAACAAACATTTGTTCAACAGCGCCAAACAGTTTGGTTGGGTCTGGCCTATAATCGAAGATATGCTTCTATTTGTTGCTTGTCATTAGATTTAAGAAGGACCGGAGGAGGCGGGGTGGACATGGGTTCGGTAGTTCGCCAACCTTTTTTTATAATTTATGGATGTTAATTCGTCGAAGTAGCTGCTGTGAGAGGGAGCTAAGCATGGGTGAAAGTGGTGGGAAGTGGGAAGCGGTCGTCTGCTACCATTGAATACTGCTGCAGGCTGTATGTCGGATAAGGATGTGGAGCAGTACATCAGGCAGAATGTTGTTTGGGCAAAATTGCCCGAAGAGATTCGACTTGTGTTGGGCAGCTCGCAGCGCGAATACGACAAACTCGTGCTGGAATACTCGATCAAGAATCAGCTTCGATACAAGGGTAACATAGGTAAGGCTAATCCAGACCTGCATTTCAAGTGCTTTGATGCTTCTTTCTCACAACTGATAACAATTATAACTTTCTTTGTTCGCATTGGGGGGTTAAGGCATTTGGTCTGCTATCGGAACTGGCACTTCGGAAAATGTTCATGTTATAGATGTAAATGTCTCGTAACTGAACAATTTGGCCTCAGCTGTGCATTTCAGTGAAATATGTAAAAAAGAACGAGGAAACTTACTATGATATTCTGCTCAAATACAGTGAAAATCATCTGATGCTCTATCCGTATCATTTGTCCGATATTGTGGTACGGGAACTCCGCGTGACACCGTTCAATTACTACATCAGTATCATGATGGTTATTCTTATGAAATTCTTGTTTAAGTTTAAAAAAAAGTAAAAAGTAAGAATTGTGTATTTATCCTGGAAAACTGTTTCACTCTCACATGCATTCACAGTCACACACACACACACGCATACACACAAGTACACACGCACACACACACACACACACACACACACACACACACACGAACATCAAGTTATAAAATGGGCTTATTATGTGTTTTGTGCTGTGTAACAGCAGTACAAAACGCATATTGTTACGGGGTTGTCTGTGTG